AGAGAAAAAGTATGAAAACAAAACAATATTTTAAAAATGAGTAAATAATTTTAACCTTTACAAAATCACAAAATCTATTTTTTCAAAGTTTGCGAAATGGTAATTAAAAATAACTATGCAAAAGAGTTAACATTTTTGTAGTTTGTTCTTCATAATAATAAAATTTATTTAAGAGGTTTTTAAGCGTTAAATCATACTTAAAAATAGAGTTAAACTAAATTTCAAAACAATAACTTAATAGAGAAAAAAACTTTAAACAAAAACTATAATTTATAACAAAATTCCAATTAACTAAGTCCAAAACGTAAAACTGAGATGGTTTTAACTTTTATTCGTTTTCGCATTTTTGCTTATCACTGAAATTATTTGAAACCTCAAAAACAGATATGATGTGCTATCTAGTTTTTTAGTTAATTTCCTCGATTCAGATTCCAAGTTAATAATTTCCTAAGTTAGTAAATAGCGACAATAAAATCTATTTATTAATTCTTAAAACGGTTGGTATTTATGAAAATTCTTAAGCTGGGACAAAGTTATAGAAAAAGTTGGTAAAAAATCCTGTCGTTCAAACTTATTAGGTTTTTTATCTCGTAAATATTTTAAAAGGTAGAGTTGTAAAATGATTTGATGGATTTAAACAAAACAACATCTTAATTTACAAATACCTCGCATGTAATTTAATATATGCCCAGTGGGCATTTCGACGTCGAACGAACGTCGAGCGACGTCGGATCTCGACGTCGGATCGACGTTGGGTTTACGTTGGAAATGGAAATGTTAATTGACGTCGGATAAACTGACATCGCGCGACGTCGGCATTCCGATGTAAATCCAACGTGTTTTTTGAAAACTAAAAAACGTTGCCTTAGGCAGGAATTGAACCTCGGTCTATCGAAACTAAATCCTACGCGCTTAACACTACACCACAGGGACATATTAAATCATGTGATTATTTAGTAATTTATACTTGTAGCTATTTGGGAATTATTTCTTAGATAAGAAATAATTTTGTTTAATTATTATATAAATATTAAAACGAATAGTTATATATTATAAAAAATGTATACTCGAAAATGTTAGTAGTTAAAAAACTATGCTAGTGCATCATACAAAACCTCATGATGTTTTATCAACCATTATTCAAACTTCTTTCCATTAATAAAAAACACGCTTAGTTCACATATTTATTGAAGAGCGCAATTGCACACATATTGTTGGGTTTGGATTAAATTTTCATCAGCGATGTCTTACGACGTTGTTCCGACGTCGTTTTAAGGACGTTGGATTGACGTCGGAAGACGTCAAAAGACATCGGAGTACGTTAATATTATGACGTTGTCCGACGTCTTTTTATCGACGTTGGATCGATGTCAGTACTGCGACGTTTTTTGGACGTCTTTTACAAGATGTCGGAACAACGTCAAAATACATCGAAACGACGTCAGGGGATGTTGAGATAAAGACATCGCCCGACGTCATTTTACTGACATCGGAACAACGTCGGAATAGGTCTTTTGACATCGCTGATGAAAATCGCACGTAAATCCGACGTCGGATTGACGTCGGGTGCCCACTGGGTGATTACACATCTCAGCTGAAAATATAACTTTGAGATTAAACTTCATGGTACATAAAATTTTGGCGAGAAGTTTAACACTTTTTCAATGTTTTTAAACCACAACTTAACTGATCAGATAAGTTGGTTCAGCTGAACCACGAGGCTGTCAAATTATTTTTTACCGCCGTTGGAGATCATTGAGTGTATTGAAACAAGTAGCTTTAGAAATAAGGTAAAAGCACATGGGATTTTGTCAGACATATAAAAAATACTTTGCGGATAACAAAAGCTCTAGAAGTTTTCTTTTTCAATCTAAAAAAGATTCTGCCTACACAAAAATTACAGAAGGTAAATATTTTTAATTAGGACAATAGTTCTCAATTAAAGCTTTCCGTTTTTATCCAAATATTGAGCCTCTTTAAGCTGGTGCCAAGTAATGAGCCTCATTAAGATGGTTCCTATATAAAAACCCAAATATTTCGTTAAACCTGTTGAGTTATACTTTTTTCTTTCCTAAGTTTTAATACCCTAAAGCCAAATCTTTTATCAATCAACTCAAAAAACAACAACAACAAAAAAGTGTTATAACAATATTTAACTAAATTTGATGAAGTTGTGGTCTAAACCTATTTACTTAAAAACAACAAAATAATCTTTAAAATTTGGTCCAAATACATCTTGTAAATAGGTTAAAAACATGTACTAATATCAATAAAATATCTGCTACCTATGTTTAATAAACGACCTTTTTGTAGCAATAATTGTTTTTAGGTCACAAATGAGGGGTTTCTTTGAGTTTTGGCATATGACATAAGTATATATATATATTAACAATGAATGAAGTAAAACTTTTAAAGCTATCACATAACTATTTTCTGAAATATAGTTTGAAGTTAGAGCTAAAGTCAGAAAAGCATATATGAAATAAAAATCAAAACTAAAAAGTTCATAAACTTGTCATCTAGTCGGGTAACCGGAGCAAGATATGTGAATTCTGCTTCCCATTTTACTAAGTAGCAGGGTTTTTGAAATAAAATTTCATGTTTTTAAAATAAAATTTCAAAAGTTGCTATCTGCTCTTATTATAGTAACACAAAAAAAAACACGCGTTGTAAAAAAATATTTCATAAGGACACCATCCTTATCAATAACCGAAACCGAGTATTTTTTGGGTTTAGTTTTGGGGTAAAAATAACCAAGCTTTAAAAAAAAAATTTTAAAGTATTCAGCATTAAAGAGCAACAAATTCTAAACAAGAAAAAGTCTTTAAAAAATTCTTAAATTTTTTTTATATACACTATTTTTCTATAGAAACGGCTTTATGTTAGCGCGATAGTCTTGTTAGGTTTAGTGATTTTTTATATTACGTAAGGTTTTCTTTTAATAACAATTTTTTTTCTAGATTTTTAATTTTTAAATTATTATTTTTAAAATTTTTATTTCATTTTATTTGAGTCTCTAATGACCTAATTTTTTGATAATATTTAAAACACAATACGCTACCCTAGTTTAACATAAATAGTTAGACTAGAGATAAGGAATATAAAAAATTTGCATTTAGTTCGTATGAGACAAAGTATCAAAAAAATTTAAAACTTTTTCAGAGCTTCAAAATTATCTTGATTCGATAAGTTTTTAAATGGTAGACAAACTAGAGTGACAAGTTTAATTAAGTTAAAAAAGATTCTAACTTAAAATTGAAAACTTTAAAAGTTATTAAGAAATTGCCTAAACGCAGAACAATAAGAAAATTTATTTTACATTATAAAGAAAACCAAAAATAGGTTAAAAAAATCAACGAGTTCACAACTCTTGAAACAGAGATTTAAACAAATTTACAATAAAATCTATGTTACCATCATAATTCAAGAAGATTATGGTTATCGATACCTCGTTACATAGCTAAAATAAAATCTCCGTACAATACACGACACAATTATAACCTCCAGTAATCTCCATGGCGTCTCAAAATAATAAAAAAAATAATTAGTTTGAAATTAAAGCTTCGTCAACTTCAGCAACGAAACATTAGATAAAAAGATCGATAAAATATCTTTTAAAAATAGAGTTTTTTTTTAAAACCTTTTTTGTTCTATGCGTATTACACGCGTAGTTAATTAAAAAAACTCAAACGTGTAAATTCTATATACACAATTAAAACAACCCAATATAAAAAGTTCTCCTTTTTTAATTTTAATCGAAAGCAAAATCAAAAGAAATGTAACATTTGAAAGCATAAAATTAAAAGAGATATGGAAGGTTAAAATTAAAGAGAATTTAAAATCTTTATCACGTAGTTGAATTTACATTATCTGACGAAGAACCCATTTGAACTAAAACTTTATCGAGCCATTTAAGTGGCCCGTTTAACCGTATCTCAATCCAGCAAGGTGTACTTGTGATAGATTGTCTACGATATTCAGCGCCCCATCCTTTGACAAAACTCAAACGAACCATACACATAGATTTCATTTGATAGACAGCGTTAAAACCACGAGGAACACACTGAGAAAGTAATTCAGCAAATTCTTGATTGTTAAAAATTTTGAGATTGCACGAAGGAGGTATTTTGCATACAGTGGCAGGATGCCATCCATATCTTCTATTACAATTAGAACTTTGCACAAATATGCTACTGTTACTTAAGCATTCAGCGAAAACTTCGCCGCCGAAATAATATAAACGTACACCTTTGCCGATGTGTCGCCGTGAAAGTTCTATTTGCTCAGTTCGGTTTATATTCGATAAAAGTCCTAAACAGAACCGATCTTGAGAAGACGGATCAGTATAGCCATCTACTGTTAAAACAGGTTTAGTAGAGTGAAACGTGTCACCAACGCGCGTTCTAAGTTCGTTATAAGCAATTGCACACCATGCTTCCGGTTCTTCGTATAACACGGGATCGTAGACTAAAAAAAATTGAAAAAAATATTAGACGCTTTTTTTTATTAAATAAATAATCATTAAAAGAAGAATTAAATATTCTAAGTTTATAAAAAACCATATACTGCTTTTGTTTATATTTACAATTAAAGATTTTTATATTTGATATAATTGAAGCTGTCATTTCGAAAAGGGCACAAGTCCATTTATTAAATGTTTTCAAAATAAACAAAAACATGATTTTTAATAAAGTGTCTTCGCAGCTAAAGAAATTAAATATAAAAGTAGATAAATAAAGAACGTATATAACTTATGCAAATTTTATTTTTTTATAAAAAAAACATAAATCATACAGAAGTTTTAAGTTTAAATTTATAAACTAACTGTTAAAAGTTTTGGAATTGTGTCCTTTTCGAAATGACAGGTTCAATTTAATTTGATACCTAATTTCAAATTTTTTAAACTTGGTTTTAAACTTGTTTTATATATATATATATATATATATATATATATATATATATATATATATATATATATATATATATATATATATATATATATATATATATATATATATATATATATATATATATATATATATATATATATATATATATATATATATATATATATAGACACACATATATATATATATATTTATATATATACAGTAGCGTCCAAAAGTTTGCGGACAGGCAAAAAAATAAGGAATTTTACTTAAAATTCAGCACATATTTCACTAAAGCCAACATATTATATTATATACCAATTAAAAGGTTTCCAAGTTAACAATTATGTTTTGAGCAAATAATGAATATTTAATTATCATTTTAAAATTGGTTAAGAAAATGGCGATTTTTGATAAGATCAAAAGTTTGCGGACAAACTAACGCTTTTAACATTTTCACCACAAAATAGCTAATTTGTTGATTTTATAAACAAATACTTTGTGGAAATAATTTCAAAACTTTATATATAAGTGATTGAGATCATGGGATCTAAGAAGTGTATTTCATCTCCAGTAAAAAAATTGATCTTGAGATCAGTTCAGAATGGAAACTCGTTTCGTAAAACAGCACAGCTTTATGAAGTTGGTAAGTCTGCTGTTGGACAAATTATGAAGAGATTTGAGCTTACTAGATCTACAAAGAATAAAAATCAATCAGGAACGCCACGCAAAACAACGCGTTATCAGGATAAAAAGCTTGTAATACTAAGCAAAGAAAATCCCCGTTTGACAGCTGTCGATTTAAACGTACAAATGAGACGTCTCTATGGAATGAATTGTAGTATTTCTACTATAAAACGTCGTTTACGTCACGCTAATTTGTTTGGAAGACGCCCAGCTAAAAAACCATTAGTTTACTTGAAAATCCGTAACGCCCGAATGGAATTTGCATCAAAACATCTAAAGTGGAGTAGTCAAAAATGGTCAAAAATTCTTTTTAGTGACGAAAGCAAATTTATGCTGTTTGGATACGATGGAATCAGGTATGTTCGACGTCCAGTAGGTACTAGGTACAATCCTAAATACCAACTGCCTACCGTAAAACATGGAGGAGGTAATGTAATGGTTTGGGGATGTTTTAGCCGAAATGGAGTTGGTCCTCTCCATAGAATTATCGAGAATGTGAATCAAGAAAAGTACAAAGATATATGTAAGACTATTATGTTACCATATGCAAAGGATAAAATGCCTCGAGGATGGATTTACCAAGAGGATAACGATCCCAAACATACAGCTAAATCGGTTTTAGAGTTTTTTAAAGAGAATAAAGTTAATGTTTTGAAGTGGCCATCCCAATCACCTGACTTAAATCTTATTGAACATCTATGGGAACATGTTGACCGTCAAATGAAAGAAATTAAGCCTACAAATTATGCTGATTTATTTAATAAAATCAAAGAATTATGGGACTTAATTCCCATTGACGTTTGCATTAATTTAGTTGACTCTATGCCTCATAGATGCCAAGCTATTCTTGATTGTAAAGGATATCCTACAAAATACTAATGTGATTTTGCTTTTGCAAAAATTTTGATCAAATATTGTTGAAATATTTTAACTATTTTAAAAAATAATGCTTTGTCCGCAAATTTTTGAACTCATCAAAGACCGTTGATTTGTATACCAATTTAAAAATATTATTTAGATAATAATTATTTGTTCAAAACCTAATTGTAAATTTGAAAAGCTTTAATTTGGTATATAATATGTTGGGTTTAGTAAAGTATGTGCTGAAATATAAATAAAATTCCTTATTTTTTTTTGCCTGTCCGCAAACTTTTGGACGCTACTGTATATTTATATATATATATATATATATATATATATATATATATATATATATATATATATATATATATATATATATATATATATATATATATATACAGCTGCTAGCATGAAAATAGCAGTACCTGAAATTTTTTGAATACTTTCGAGCAATTTTTTCACTAATTACTATTTTATTATACTTATTTTAACACTAAAATCTTATAGATTAAAAAAATCACATCAATAGTATAGTTATACATTTTATTTCGGAAACACAACAATATTAAAAAAAGGTTGCAGTCATTGAAATAGCATTTTGTTGCATAACCTTTGTTTTGGATGCATAAAGTCAATAAGGTGTTGATATTTTTCTGCAGGTATTGCGTACCATGCTTGTTGAATAGCTATCCATAACTGTTGAGGTATATTTTTCTGTATTAGCTGGACATTTTACATATTGCCTTGAACCTATACCTCCATAAAGAATAATTTTCAATTCATTGATCCATTATATGTTACAACTTTTTTTGATGAGCCAATTCAGATGTTTGCAAACGGCAATCATTTAGCAGTATGTTTTTTTGTCAACAAAGGAACCTTTCGTGGACTTTATGCATATAAACTATTCTCTCTTAAGCGCCTATGAGCAGTTGCACCACTCTTGTAATTCAAGATCATCTTTGACTTGCTTGGCCCATGAAAATGGTTTGCTTTTAACATAACTTACAATTCTTCGGTCTTCTTGTGCAGTAGTCTTACATTTTCCACTTCGCTTTTCAACTTTTGCTTTTTAGTTTATGGCATTTGAAATTATCTTTGCTGAACATCCGAGAATGTTTTGTATATATGAATAAGATTTACCCTCTCTATGATGCTTCAAAAAAATGTTGCGTTCTGCTGGTGTACAATGATGTCTTTGGCCCACTTTGAAAGGTTCAGAAAAGACTTTTACCATTGGGCATAAACAAGTAAAGAATATATCATAATTTAAGTAATACTTACTTTCCCTGTAAAAGTTACAAAAATCTCTTTAAATTTTATAAAAAAAACTTTAAAATCAATAGAAACAATATTATTTTAATGCATTCTCTCGGGTCAGGGCAATAACATCCGTTTTTGCCATGTATAATAACATTTGTGAAACAACATCCTAAACTTCATTGATGTATAATAACCTCAATGAAATTTCGGATGTTGTTGCACAGATGTTAATTCAGTAAAGAAAAAAAGCGGATGATCTTACACAAAAATGTGCGGATGTTATTTCACTACTCCACGGATGTTGTTGGACAGATGTAGTAATCTTTTCCCAATTCTTTCAATTACAATAATTTTATCAAAAATAACGGTATTCTTGGATGTATTAAATTCTCATTTATGAGAATTCAACATCTCATTTATGTATATACACACATAAATCAGTCTTTCTAGACCGCGATATAAAAATGTTATCAGATAACTGCTTTCTTGACATCCCTCTCAGAACTACTTTATTTTTTCCAAATTAACATTTTAAAGTATAAAGATTCTGAATTTGAAAAGTTCCCAAGTTTTCCTACTGCAGTTCTCTAGAAATTTACGATTTAATTTTATATTATTGAGTGAATTGATTTTTATCGTGTAAGATAAAATAGTGATCTAAAAACTGTTCTTAGCAGCTGTAACTGCATAAATACTAAATTGTATATAAATGTATGAAGTATTTTTAATATATAACCAATTATAGATGAGTTTCAAATGTTTACATTCTCGTTTTCAAAAAAAGATGCGCGCTCAAACTTGTAGGTAGAAAAACAAATAATCGGAAATTTTCTAGTAAAAACATTGAGACATTTATGTTAAATTTATTCACTGATTCTTATTTATTCACTGATTCACTAATTTAACTGGAAATAAATTATGCCAACCAGTTGTTATGTAATTGGTTGTTCAAACAAATTTAAAAAAGAATGTGGATTAAAATTTTATAAATTTCCATCAGGAAAATCGCCTTTTGAGAAAAGAAGACGTATAGACTGGATTAAAGCTAATAATCGTAAGGATTGGGACATTTGCGAAAGTGAAAAAATTAGTAAAGAAAGAGTATGCAGTGCACATTTTGTATCAGGTATATTCTTTTAATGAATGAGGTTAGCTAATAAAACTATATACGTAGAAATACGTTAAATAAGACTCTTTAAATTAGTAATTTATAATATTTGTTACATTTATATATTGTATTACATAATGTCAATTGTATAAAGAACTTATTATATTTTAGGGGAAACGTTATGATGACCCATCTGACGTTGACTGGAGTCCATCTGTATTTAATCACTTTGGAGATGCTCCGATTTTATAGTTTGATTAAAAAAAGGAAGAGAAAAGATTGCTATAAAGCCTTATGTAAAAAACAATCTTTCAAAAAATCAATACTGCCATCTAGCCAATCAAATGATATAGAGCTTGATAAATATAAAGATAATGTAAATATTGACATAAATCCACCAAATGACAAGTCAGCCATTTCTAAATTTTGTTAGCATGATACTTATAAAGCAGAAGTTAAAACTCTTAACTTTCAGTTAATGCAATACAGAAATGAATTGATCAAGAAATCTAATAAAATTATTGAACTCAAAAAAAAAGAATGCCAGACTAGACCATAATAAATATATTTCATACCAAAACCTAACAGATGAACAAATGAATTTTTTTTCAGGCTTGTCTCGAACTACGTTTATGTGACTCTTTGAAAGAGTTAAAAATTATATTACAAAAATTCAGTCAAGGTTATTGTTGGAGGACCATCTCTTAATTGTACACATAAAACTAAAATTAGGTCTATTAAATAAAGATATTGCTTTTCGATTTAGACTAAGCCCAGCAGTAGTTTCAAAAATTTTCAGAACAATAATACCAAATCTTTCTGAAAGAGTTGTCAATCTTATTGTTTTGCCAGACCGTGGAATAAGGAGTAACCTTCCTATATGTTTTAAAAAATAGTTCAAAGATTGTGTCTGTATTATTGATTGTACCGAAATATTTATTGAAAGACCAAAAAATTTAACTTCACGATCACAAACTTGGTCTAACTACAAACATAACAATACCATTAAATATCTTATTGGTATTACTCCAGCTGGGTTAGTTAGTTTTTTATCTCCTGGCTGGGGTGGTCGTGTTTCAGACAAACAAACAACATTTGAGTCAAACTTTTGTCAGAAGCATTATTCTGGGAACTGTGTTCTTTTGACAGAGGATTCAATATTAAAAATGAACTAAATGCTGTTGGGGCAACGTTAAACGTTCCAACATTTATGAAAGGTAGACAACAATTAGGGTGGGAAGTGGATACATCTAGACAGATATCTCTTACGCATACATGTAGAAATAGTGATTGGTTGAATAAAAAAGTTTCGCATTATTCATATGACTGTGCCAATCACTCAAGTGGATTTATTAGATGATATTATGATTACTATTTGTGCTCTTGTAAATCTCAATATGAGTGTAGTTACTTGATTAATGTAAATGTAAAAACAAATTTACAGAGAAGCAATTTTTATAGTTTTAAAATATAAAAACATATTAAATGAAAGTAATATTTGTTCTGGTTTATCTGGTTATTATCTGGTTTTACATTCTTTGCATAACCAATTTGTAGTTTTTGGAGCTCTTTTCAATCCAACACAAGCTTAATGAAACCATTCATATTTGCAGTTATTAAAATTGCATGGTATCATTTTTCCAAAACTTGGTCTTTGGCATATACAGTAAACTTTTCTACTATTTATTGTTGATTTATCATTACAACGTATTACAAGCTAAAATGTTTTTGAAATACATAAAAAATTTATCAATCATTTTGAGAATAAGGTCTGCATCTTTTTCAATTGTTAAAATAAAACTTTGTTCACCTTTAACTGCAGGGGAGAATACAAGAAAATCAGCATCAGAACAGAGAAATACATGTAGTTGTAATTGAATTTGGTAATAATACTTGCGATCCTTTTTTATAATGAGATCTTTATTGATTGGAAAATCCTTATCTTCTTTCCATCCTTCAAAGCCATTTTGATATTTATAAGGACATTTGATTTCTAAAATTTTAGTTTGATGACAACTGCATCTAATCAATGCATTTGGAGAAGCTCCAATGAAAGGGTATTGATCTCTCACATGAAAACCAGTATCTAAAAACTCAAAATTTTTATGACTATATTTTTTCAATATAATATTTTTAAATATTTTAAATATTTTTTAAATAAATATTTTAAATATTTTTTAAATAAATATTTTAAATATTTTTTAAATAAATATTTTAAATATTTTTTAAATATAATATTAGTTCAATATAATATTTTTCATGCAACATGTTCCGTTTCTGTTCCATATTGTGTGTACTTAGTAACAGAATTTTTTGCATAATGCATAATTTTTTTGACCAATGATTCACTTGACATATAATTTGTATTAGAATGATATACTTCTTTTGCATTTGAAGCTGTTATACGCTCTGCAGGGTGCACATCCAAACAGGATTCAATGATTGTGTTTTTGTTTGGTTGCATAAGTTATTATAGTGTCTTTGATTGTTATCATTTTTATAATTGTTATATATACTTTCGCAAAAAATGATCAACTTATCTTCAGATAAATTTATACTTGTTGGATCACATATTGATGTGAAAGCTTCAGGAAGTGTGGTCTCTTCTGTCTCAGATAAAGTTTCAGTAGCACTAGAGTCATATTCAACAGATGAAGTTTCAGTAGCACTAGAGTCATATTCAACAGATGAAGTTTCAGTAGCACTAGAGTCAACAGACATAAATTCTGTAAGATTAATACTCGTAAAAAATTGCAGATTTTGGATTAATTTTAAAAAGTTTTTCTATCTCTTTAGCTGTTAACCGGTGCTCACCATCCATTGGATTATTGTTGGAAAAGTGTTTTTTTAAAGGTAGCTTTACAGCCAAATCATTTTGTAAAAGATTTTTTTGAGGTCGCCGAAAATTTATGAGCTGCAATGGAGCAGGTTGAACAGATTTAGTCATTTTTTCCAAGTACACAAGATACTTGTAGGAGAAGTTTCGTGTAATTTTAAACGTGAAGCTGCTTCTAATTTAAATAATAATGCTGCTACATGGCTACAAGCTGATCCTAGTCCAGCCATACATGAACAATTAGCAGTTAGTACCCAACCAAGTTCTTTCTCAAGACAAGTCCATACATCATACATGTTTGTGTTGTTTTGTCTTTGACTTGGCAAGACCTATTACAAAAAGATTATTTCTATATAAAAATTATTATTTATTCGTCTTAAAATTTTTTTTTAAATTATATTTTAAAAACAACCTTTAATTTTATAAAACAGAATTTGCTCCTATTTGATATTTTATTATAAAAACATTCTTGAACATGACCACAAGTGAAGTAATCATATGCTTCCAAAGATTTATAGGCTTTGATTGATTCCTTCCTGTATATGCTAGGTGTATCGATTAAATATTGAGTAACGTCTTGCCATGTAATGTTTGGCAAATGATTGAGATCGTTGCTCCATTCTTTTGGTTTGATTATGAACAGATCTGGTAAAACTTCCCCATTTTAAGAGTTAACTTCTTTTTGTAGTCAATTGCTTGTTCTAATTTTAGACTTTTAAAATATTCACTCATGATATTGTTAACTATTTTGAAAAATTAAGTTGACTTCCAAAAACAGAATAAATTTATAAGAAAAATCGCAAGAGCAACAGCAATTTTTAAACTCAAAATGAGTTTATAATTTGTACAAGAACATCTGTTTTAAAAATTTTTTAAACAAAAGTTTTTAATAACAATAAAAACTTTTATCACCAAAATTTATATGAAAAATTTGTAATTAATTTTAATTATTCTTTTAATAATTTTTTAAAGAAAAAAATTAATTTTAGGGTACAAATATTGATTTTAGGGTATAAAAAAAATACAAGAAACACATTAAAGTTCTTGTGTTTTAATTTTTTCTACCTACAAGTATGCGCGCATGTTGTTTACAGAAAAACATGACATCGCATGGAAACTCATTTATACATTCATTTATATAGGTATATAAGAGTGAATCGATTTTTATTGTGTAAATCTAAAAGTTAATTTGAAATATCGTTTTAACAACGGATAATACATTTAATTGTTCATTTAACTTTTGTAAATTTATTTTTATTATCTTACAAACATAAAAGTTTACAATGGTTGATTATCTATATCAGAATCAGTTGAAACTATTCCACTGTAAGTATCATCGCTGTCTTCGACAAATTTCAAATTTTTATTGCAGCATTCAATGCATTGACATAAATCAGAACACAACAGTTCTCCACTTCAACATGAGCATCTTTTTGTTTTACAACCAGTCAAGCATCTACAATGAATAAAATTTAACACACTATCGGGAGAAATTTCCTTTGACAGCAATTTTATTTTCAATTCATCGCCATCCATCATCCAACCATGTTCCAAAACACATGGCATTTCAATAGAGGTATAGTGGCATGTTTCCTGATATAAGCTTGATAATTACATCTCAGTATGTGCCGTACTAATGCATCTGAAGTTGGAGGCAATTGCTCTTCACTATATTTGCCATTCTTGAAGAGTTCATATCTCAACTCGTTAACTAAAGAAACTGTCATTACCATAAAGGTGATACACAAATTTCTCTATTTTAGTAAATAAATCTGATGCCATCAAGTGATTTTTCACCATGCTCTGCTAACACGCCTTCATACTCAGTTTTTTTTTGTAAGACCTTAAGTACTGAAGCTTTTCCTTTACCATAAAATGAACTTGTAGTATCGCATCCTAAAAGGAAAACACATTATACAATTTTACAGAGTTTTAAATGTTTGTATTACAGGAATGAAACTTACAAAAAAAAAGATTTGGAGATCATGTCATAAAAAGTAGATAAACTAAGTTAACCAACTAAGGGCTCGTCCATAAATTACATCATGCTATAGGGGGGTGGGGGGGGGGGGTGGGGGGTGGGGGAAGGGGAGGGGGAGGGGTTTGTGGTTTTTTGACAACTCATACAAAACTTGATTCTTAAGTATTACAATTTTGTGACAAGGAGGGGGGGGGGGGAGGTCAAAATTGCTCAAAAATTGCGTGACGTAATTTATGGACAACCCCTAACCTGTAAAAGAATGAAAGCCAACTACAGCATTTACAAAAGATCTACCCAAATGATCAGCTACTTTTTTTACATTAATTGTATGTTTGTTGTTTTGATTTACGGTTGCAAATAATACATTAACAGTAAAATGTTAGATAGCATGTAAAGCAGTGACAAATACATCAGTGTCAGAACTCCAAATTACAACATTTTTGTGAGAGGAAGCTGCATGATGTGTGGAAGAACTCCAAATTACAACATTTTTGTGAGAGGAAGCTGCATGAGTGAGCCATTAACCGAGTATCTACTTCTTCATGGTCACTTTTAAGAGAGATTGTTTCATATACTACCACATTATTTGCTGATAACATAAATTGATAACAATTATCTTCATTGGTTAAATAAACACTTATTTGAGAAATAAAATGTATTTAATGAACTCAAATGAGTAAACAAAAAATTTATTATTTCTTCTTTATTTTTGCGATTTGAAAGGAACTTTTTCCATTGACAAGGTATAGACAAGTAGTTTATTTAATATACAAATAATCGAAGTTAATATACAAATAATTGAAGTTCCATGAGTAATTCTTTTCACGTGTTCTAAACTTTTAATACTATGATTAAAATACCTATCTGAAACAAAGTCAACACGCTGACACCCATAACAGTTGGACAGATAATTTCTTTTAGTATATATTCAGCTAACTCACCAAATGTTTTTGACTCTAACTTGTAGTGTTTGTAACAGAGCCATTGCGTCCACTAGTAAAGCTCCACTTTCAACAATTGGCAACACCAGTGAATATTTAACAGGCTCTACAAGAATTTTTAACAAATTACTTTTTGTTGTTTTTACTAAAGTACCATCTGCGGTGGCAAAAGGTGAGGGATGAGGTCGTAGAGGATACTTTAAAACTTACTTCATGTCAATATCTCTGCTTTTTGCTTGTAAGATTAACTTAGCAAACAAATTTGTGGTGTTCTTTATTTCCAAAATTTCCCCTTTTTTATTTTTAGTACGCACTTTATTGTGCATGTTGGAAAATGTATGTAACATTTTTTTTTAATTGGAGAAAATATGTCTGGCTCTTTGCAAAGAATATTTTTGTTAATAAAACTCTCAGCTTTTTGTCTTCCTATTTCCCAAAGACTGAGCATATCTCTTGAAGTATTTTCTGTTGCAACTCTGCCACTTGCTAACTGTAGAAGTTCTTATCTGTCATCATCAAAAGAGTTTACCATTGTATTAATAGTCTCCAAAATTGATCAAATATCCTCTTCATCCTTTTTAATTCTTGAATCATCTTTTCTACAACTAAATATCATGTTTAAAAATATACTTTTGAAACATTCTTTAAAAAAAATTAAAAAACCTATTTAAAAAACTAGATTGTAAAAATTTTCAAAATTTTAGAATGTAAAACTACATCCATTCAATCAATTATGTATTTTCATAAATAAAAAAAGGATTGTTACTACAAATATGTTTACCGTGTTATTGAAGATACTCCTGCAAATTCCTTAGCTGCTTCAGTTAACAAAGCCCTCTCCACTTGGGTTAACACCCATCTTTTAACAGCTCCTGGCTTATGTGTCATACCTACAATACCACCTGAACTTTACTACTCCTGTTAAAAGTTTGTTCTATAGTTTGGTCACATGCAATATCTGCAAAGTTATATGATGCCTGTCTTTTAACTGTCCAGTTTTCTCTTATTTTACAACAAATATCTGTCAAACATAAAATAGGAAATTATTCTAGGTTGATTACCAGAAAAACAAACATATAAGATAATTCTATAATGTTTTTAAAAACACAAAAAACAATTATCTTGTAATTAAACTATATATTGCTGTAAAACAAACTGTTTAACTTAATCTTAACACTTCAACACAAAAGAAAAAAAGGCAATACCTTTATGAATTTGATTAGGTACACTCATTTCTAACCAATACCAAGATGCATATCTGCTGTAGTTGATACAATCTGTAACAAAAAACCATACCAACATAGAGTTAACTGTAGATAGATGAAGATCCCAACTTCCCGTACAAACTGCTCTTAAATGAAGCAGCATTAATTGCACTATTTCTAAGTAGACACTCCAGAAATAAAACAACTGGGACTTTGCACATTGGTGATTAACATAAGTCTTATAGCTTATAATAATATCTTGGAACGATGGACTTTAAATATAGTTGTCAAAGTCTGGATCTTCATAACATTCTTTCATACCGCAAATAAAATTTAAAATGTCAGCTTCTTCTTCTCTGGTCATTGAAGAAAGAAACGACTGAAACCTCAGATCCTCAGATGACTAAGTGCTACATACATCAATTTATGAGCTCTAGCACCAGAATTATGTTTGCCAGACATCACTCCATTGTATGAACCACAAGCAATAACACCAGACTCATTGAGTCTATCCTTATGAAACAAAATTTATATATTTGTACAAATTTAACAGTATGTGGAACAAAAATAAAAGTGTTTTTAAAGGCAAAAACCCTTGAAATATTATATATGCAGATATATATAAAAAAATTATTTTACCTGTAAACCAATATCTTTAAATAGTTTAGCTATAGCTGACATAAAGGACATGACCATGTAGAAATCCCCAAGTCTTACAACAATTTGATCAACAAATTCTGTGTTTTTCCATCTTACCATCTGTATTTTTGCATAAACCGTCTCTTTAAAAACCATTACAATTTGATGAAGTAAAAGTTGTTAGTTATGTTAATACTAGTATTTAAAATTTCATGAATGGTGGATATATCACTAACAGGAGCATTTATAATTGGTAAGTATGAAATTGTTGAAACACTTCCTTTATTTGAACCGTATAATGAGCATATTGTGTTAAAACCTGTCCAACATGGCAAAATTCCTGCTGCATCTAACTGAGATAATTTGCAAGTGATGTATGCTAAATCAAGATGTCATTATCATTTAGGAATACATTTTTGTGTTTAAATAATTTTGTTAAGTAAAGAGATTATTTCCCAGTAAATAAACTGATATTTCACTCAATTCAACATTTAATGTTATACAGATAAAGTTAATTCTTGTAATTTAATAAATCTGTATGACCAAGAATTATTTACAGAAAATTAAAAAGAGTAGGTGTAATTCCACTTTCAATATTTTCAAAACTGAAATCTGAAGCTGGTGGTGGCCATTTTTAATCCCAGTTCCACATCTAAGAGATTCTCTGATTTTCATACAAACTTGATGAAAGGCAGAACAACTTACATTAAATAAATTGTTCTCTTGTTCACTTTCAGTTTCATTATTTTCTGAAAGACCTGATTCTTGTGAGAATCAAGTTCATCAACTTCTTCATTTATAACAACTGCACCTATATCCTCATAAAAAACAAATTCACTTTGACTGCAATAAAACGGCTGACCAAATCAGAATAACAATTTATTAATCTTTCTTTTAAGCGACAGCTTTTATAATTGCTAGCATCCAAATTTTCTACTTTTTTAACAATTTTTATAAAATATTCAGTAAGATAACCTAGGCAATAAACTTTTTTTAATTTGATGATTTAATTGTCAATAACTTGTGTACAAAAGGACAACTTATACATTAAGTTGCTGGTAGATATCTCTGACAGTGATATTAAAGATTTAAAGTTTTGTATATTCATTGTAAAATGTTTTATGGTACCTCACCTCAACAGCAACACAATCCTTGTCTTTAATGTATAACAAAATATTTTCATCATTTTTATCTTCAACAGCTCGACGCAATAAGCCACCATCAAAAGTTTAACTTAAACTAAGATTCTGTATTTTTCTTTTTTTGTCATGAAAATCTGTATAGTGAAGATTTTTTTTTTTACAAATAATACCAAGTGACTGCAAAACTGAAGAACTTGTTGAAATCCTAACTGATGACAATCAGGAAGATTTTCTTTTATTTTCTAATTTAGAGCTTTCAGATATATTATTCAATTTTCTTTTTCTGGCTCTTTCAATTTTAGACACATCTATGAAATACTTGTAACATTTTAGATGGTATACCAAATGAGAGTTTTTATCAAAATTTTCAGAGCAACTAACAACTTTATGTGATACACCCATAGCTTCTAAATTTTTGTCACCTATCATAAGCCATTCATTTCGTGATAAAATAAATTTTTCATAAGTTAAATTAGTAAAATTTCTTAATTGTTCAACTTCACAATTCGAAAAATGAATAAGACATAATAGTTTACAAGACTCAGTTGCAGCTATGTTTTCATTTTATTTTGATTACTAGGAAGACGAGTAGTTTGCCGCATGCATTTATTTGAAATGAACTCAAGAATTTATAAATATATATAAAGAAATTATACAAAAATAGGTTCTGTTTTTTATTGATAATTTTCAACAAAATAAAATGATAGTCATGTAAATCGATTTTTATAGGGGGTTCTAACACTTTTTTTTCAAAAACTGCACAAAAAAAACTTGAGAACTTTTTCCATAATGTTATTACATATCATAAAGTACTATTTCTGAAAAAATTAATTCTGAGAGGTCACAGACCGATGCAATTAGCATGCACGGATTGGGGTCTATTCTATATTATACAGAAGGAAAGTAATAATGAAAATACAAATAGTTTTTTAGTACTGCTATTTTCATGCTCACACCTGTATATATATATATATATATATATATATATATATATATATATATATATATATATATATATATATATATATATATATATATATATATATATATATATATATATATATATAAATGTATATGTAAAAAAAGCTTATAGAGTAATAGCAATATACCAAGTTGATGATCTTCGAGTTTAAAGTAATATTTTGCTATGTAATACTACTGCTGTTATAAAGAATTTAAAAAGCTGTCATTTTAATGAATTTTTAAAAATAATTGTCAAAAACATATAAAGAAAAACAATAGTACAAAAATAGTACACAAAATGAATTGAGAGTAATGGATTACTAACAGCATTTGATTTTTTAAAATAAAATTTATATTTTTTTGTTATTCTTTTGTTATACTTTGGTCCACATTTATCGGAGTTGTGGAGGTACAGATCTCTTACTCTGTTAATTATTATAAAACCAATTACTTACTATCATGAACTGAAAGTTCAAGGTTTGGCGACGGTAAAGAATACCCTAAACAATAGAAAAAATTACATTCTTTCCTAAGTACATATTAGGTAAATCTTAAAAAAAAAGCTTGCCCCATTAACCTAGAAATTGAACAAATTAAACATCATCAGATTAACTAAAAACTACATTCATACCATTCATAACACTTTGAACTGGCATTTCAATATCTGTCATATATCCTGGACTTGTTGAACCTAACAAGATAAAAATTATTTGATTGATGATATAATTCTTATTTAATTATCTCTCTCTGTACTGTACTGTTTATCAGAAAAAAATTAAAGATATTTAATCAACTTATTTTTATGTATAGGGCATTAATTTACCTATATTTAATATATTTTAAATTTCTCAATCAATATGTTCATTTGAGTAAGCATATAACTTTTGGTTTGATGCCCTGAATCAAGTTTTGCACAATATATTGGAAACTTTATCACAAATTTCTCCGCTTTTTGAACAGTTTGAACACTGACCTTGTATCTTACTTAATATATAATTAGTTTCTTATTTACTATAAACTTACACATAGTACTAAACTTCTTTCTAGGTTAGAGCTGTCAACAAAGTTGTGAATTGGGATTTTTAGGTATGATTTCAATAATATTTTCTTTATACCAATACAAAGTTTGTCTAGCACAGTGACAGCTTCCTAAATCATACCAAAACTTTACAAAAATATTTTGATATTGTATAAAAAGCAAAAATGCTTTTCCAGACAATGCACAAAACTTGTTCACAGTTAATTTGTATAATTTATAACATTCTCAATAACTGAATTTCAAAAAATATTTTCATTTGTGTTTTTTGTTTAATATAGAGTATAATGTATTGGTTGTGTTTTTTGTTTGAGTGAAATGAAATTGTTATAAGTTTTCATTAGTCTTTTTTTGCAGGAATGAAAAATTTAAATTTCTAAGTTTATTTTGACTTAATGAAGCCTAAAACTTTGTTAGTGGAGAAGCTTCACCCTAAAACTTTACAACGC